TTCAGAAAGTTAGGGGAGTAAGTAGGAAAGTCAGTAAAGCAGCAAGAGACAAAGTTTTGTGGTAGAAAGTCACAGCAAGGGTGAGTGGGCCGGGGCTGGTATCATACAGAATGGAATAATTGGCTTTGAAATGCAAGGAAGGAAATGAAGGAAAAAGAAGACAGCTGACAGTGCAGATAGAGGAAATGAAGTCATTTTTGACCTTATAAGGAAAGAAATGTTATAACCAGGAGACAAAGGACAAGAAATAAGACTAGAACTCGTAGAGGAGAAAGTTTACCGCATAGGAACTGGGAACCATGGCTAATTAGGGTGTGATCAGTGAGAGTATTCAGATAAATCCAGATATATTAAAGATCTCTCTGTGTTGAAAGAAAAGGGAGTGTTGTAGATGGCTTTGCAGACAGAGCTGAAGTATGATGGAGTTCCTAAAACCTAGTGTTGAAAAAGCTGAAGAGCCACAAAGCCAGCTTTTGAAAAAAAAAAAAAAGTAGAAAACTAGAGTTGAAGGTGAGACAAAGCAGAAATAGTAGAGAATATGGAGTTGTGAGTAGAAGTTTAGAGAGAAAATCACTGTGAGGAGCAGGGGTTATTCGAAGCCCTTCTTCTGTGTCTCCTGGAGGAGGAAGCAGCGCAAACAAATGCCTGTGGTTGAAGTGGCTTTTGAGCTACCTGATGCCCTTGGGTGTCAATTCAAAGGGCTAGAAGGCCCTTCTTTAGAGAAAGTAACATTGAAGCACACACAGACAGAGAGCTAGCTCCAGTTTGCAGGACTGAGAGAGAGGCCTCTAGTTGTGGAGACAGAAATATGACCGAGATGTCTGGCTGGAGGCTTTGCGGAGTATTGGAGAGATGAGCGGAACATGAGACAAGCGGGTGGAGGGAGGTCCAGTGGGAAGAACAAGGGCTGAGGAGACCAAATGGAAATGTAGAGGAAATGTGTCATGTTCAGATGACTCCACTGCCAACTCCATGCCTGAGTCAGATTGAGAGCTAGCACCACCATACCATCCTTGAGGGCCAGCTTTAGATGGGGTGGTTTGTAAAACTCGGTAGAGTGCAAGCACAGAGGGCTGAAGTAGAAAATCCATTGTAACTGCCAGCTTAACTTCTCTCCTCCTAGATAGGACACAGACACACAAAGGGATAAAATGACTTACCCCAAGGTTCTCCCAGCCGGTGCTCAGCTTCAGAGCCAAGACTAGAACCCCCCCTAACCCTCATCCCAAGGCCGTTTTCTGCCTCCAACCACTATTTCAGAGGAGGCAGAGAGAGAGTGACACTAAGTGTCATGACTGAAATGTGACACACATTGGGAGAGTCGTGTCTCTTATAACGTTAGCCAAACATTTTTTGCTAGAAAGCCAGAATTTAAAATGTCCACTCTTGCCCCAGAGGGTTTGGTTTTTGTTTTGTTTTGGGTTCAGGAATGATCTGTTTGAGAAATGCTGGTGCTCCTGGTACTTGTCTAAGCCTAAAGTCCCTCTTGTTCATGTTTGTTCCTGTAGTGTCTTTGGCCTCGAGCACCGTGGGGTTGGCTGGACAGGTGGTTCACACAGAAACCACTGAGGTTGTACTGACAGCAGATCCCGTCACGGGATTTGGAATCCAACTGCAAGGCAGTGTGTTTGCCACGGAGACACTCTCTTCCCCACCTCTGATTTCCTATATCGAAGCTGACAGCCCAGCGGAGAGGTGAGACCCTTTTCTTTCTCAGCATCTTTCTTGCTCTACATTTCTGGCACTGGCTATCTGTGAGTGGCTAATAAATTATGGAAGAGTGCTCAAAGCAGGAAATGCAAGATGTAATGAACTCTCTGTTCTGACAATAAAATTTTATGTTCTTGATCAGGTTCAAGAATTATGAGCATGGATGCCTTTCTCTAGCTGAATTTGTCCATCGGAGGACTAGAGGCTATATTAATTAAAAAGAACAATCCATGCCCCCTCAAAAAGTCTGAAGTTCAAATTTCAGTACCTTCTCTGCCATGCAAAAATGTACATCTAATGTTAATATGATGGCTCACACCACCAGATTATAACAACACTATGGTTATGAATTATAAATTATTTCTCAGAATAATTCTGGATTCCCTTACTCATAGTTATAACCATGAAAATGCACAATGCAAGACATTACAATTAACCTAAAACAATGCTCACAGCATTGCATATACAAGACCAAATGCTTATACTATTTTGCAAGGATCAAACAAGGTAGACTTGCCAAGCTTGGCTTGATAAATATTTACTCAATCTTCAACCTCTAACATGTGGTTCTAAATTAGATGTGGGGTGCTCCAGATTGGAGATAGAGTGATGGCCATTAATGGAATTCCAACGGAAGACAGCACTTTTGAGGAAGCCAATCAACTCCTCCGAGACTCTTCCATCACGAGCAAGGTCACACTGGAGATCGAGTTTGATGTTGCAGGTATAATCTGAATCTCGAATCAGTGACAGAGTTGGAAATGGGCTTCCCGTAAATTGTGTTGGTTAGGTAGCAGATGGAGGACTCTTTATTTATATACAGAGCATGTTTTTGTTTAAGAGGTTTGAGGTGTCATTTTGAATTGAGCCTGTATTAGTCATTAAAATGTCACCACAAGAACAATTGAAAATAAATGTGACAAATTGAATAAATAATTGCCACAATGGTGGTGATTTTTAAAAGTCATGTCCCTCTTATTCTTCCTAATGTCATCCTGTATGCTAGAGAAACCAGATTCTTTAGTCTCAAAAAATAGAGCCCTCTGGCTGAGCACCAATGGTTCATGCTTGTAATTCCTGCTACCCAGGAGGCTGAGATCTAAGGATCATGTCTGAAAGCCAGGCAGCAAAGTTGCCAGAAATGGAGCTATGGCTCAGGTGGTAAGAGTGATAGCCTTAAGCAAAAACACTTAAAGCCTAGGCCCTGAGTCAAACCCCAGGACACTGTGTCTCTACCTCTGTCTCTCTGTCTCTGTCTCTGTCTCTTTCTCTGTTTCTCTCTCTCACACACACACACACACAGAGAGAGAGAGAGAGAGAGAGAGAGAGAGAGAGAACCTTCCTGACTCTTCTTGTAGATGAAAGTTGTATAAGGAACAGTGAATATTCATTAAGGGAATGAATACTATCCCAGTAGGTAAATATGTGGTCTTTAGAGTTAAAGGCAAATTGTACCTGACACTCATTAAAAATTACAAGGAAAACTTTATTCAAGACTATTTCAATAGGGTCATGATGATTGTAAAAAAAGGGACAAAGACTGAATTAACTCCAATACAGCCAAGGCTCATGGGAATTTAAATGCAATCCACAAGAAAGGTAAAGCTAAGAGAAAGGTAAGGGTAAGAGAGACGGTGGATAGAAAAATACTAATTGAAACTTGATTAGCCATCAGAGGGAAGGGACACATGTTTGCTAAATGACTAGATGCCAATGTGGGTTCTTCCCTTAAGAAACCATACTCACATCTTCACATCAAGTTAACTACACAATGCTCTGTTTGTATATATTGCCTTATCCTCTATTCAGTGGTCTCAGCCAGGATATTTGCCCCAGGGAACATCTGGCAACCAGTTTCATGGAATTCAGTCATAGAGAAAGGAGACAGGATACCAAATAGAGGGGAGAATTCATCATTCAGAGGAGTGTTATCTTACTTTGTTTTTCTTTTCTTAAATAAATTTTCTTAAATGTAGAGATATTTGAGCATATGTAGGACCCAAAAAAAATGAAGGAGAGAGAAAATACTGGGTGGAATAAGGTCCCCAAAAGAACATGAAGATGATGCGGATCATGAGACAAGTAGTCTAGAGTGGAAGGCAGAGACCACTTGCCAGGAATCTGAAGAATGGGATATTAGAATATAAGTATCTATATGCACATTGAGTTCAAGTAGTTTGTGTAATGTCTAGCAGGCTAAGGTTCAGTAGTAGTCTGGGGAGCTGGAAAAGAGGATGTGGTTTAGAATAACAAATGGGGAAATGAGACAGGGGAAAAATAACCAGAAGGTTGGAAAGGATTTTTAAGGTCAGGGAAGGACCAGGCAGAATCTGGAAGCTCTAAGTTTATAGCAGTGTCTACCAGCATTCGAAAGGAAGTTTGCTTGTGTATTCCTTTTTGGGAAATCTCAGCTGCAAAGGAACAAGAGAAGAGAAATAAATGATTGGATTGAGCCAGACATTGAAATTTCTAGAGAAGGTTCAATAGTTGAAGAACTTAAATCCAGGAGGTTCAGATTGTTGCTGGGAGACCAGATAACATCAAAAGAATTAACATGAAAATATTGCTTGTTTTGTGGCTGGTCACATTCCTGAGTACCGTGTTTCATTCAGTCATTTTTGTTCCATATAGTACTACACAAGTTCCCATTATTATGTCTTCAGAAGACTGAAGTACGTGGAAGTAATGGTGAACGTGGCATTTTAACTCAGTCAAGCTGGTTTCCAAGACCAGATTTCTAATTCCTGCCCTTGAAAAAAATCAAAGCTGGAGCAGGATGAGAATCAATAAAGAAACAGCCTGATGGACTGAGTGGAAAGATAATGGCTTAAAGAACAAGGTGTCCTCTGAAATTAAATTGGGCCCAGTAAGAAAGCAGTGGAGAGAGATATTGGGTAGCAGACAGAAGTCATAGTGTCATAATAAGGTTTTGAATTTCAGGGATACTCAAGAAAGGATTAAGACTGTCAAGGTGCTAAAGTAACATAAAGGGGAGGCAAAAAGCACTCAACTAGGGGACATCAGAGATATTGGAAGATGTGTGGTGTGTGTGTTGTGTGCCTGTGTGTCTCTGTGTGTGTGTGTGTGTGTGTGTGTGTCTGTGTGTGTTGGTTTAGTACTTTAATATCTTAGGTTTAGATTCCTAAAAAATTGGGAGGTGTAATATCTATTAAACATTCTTTATTCAGTGCCCGACTTATTTGATAGGGGATAAGGAAAAGGAAGTTAAGGTCCTCCTGTCCTTGTTGGCTCCAGGAAGCACCCATTTCAAATGGATAGACGTGATCTACAATAGGGCAAGAAAATATGTTCCCACCTGTCACTCCCTCTCCCCTTGCTCAGACATCACTAATTAATGCCATTATTCTCCTGCTGAATGCAAACACAACCTTAGAATCCTTAATGAAACACTTGTTAAGTCATTCTTGCTCTTCAGGAATATTTTGGAAACTGTTTAAATCAGGGAAATCCTTTTAGCCAATAAAGAACTTGAGACATTGACAAGAAATCTCTGAATGTGAGCTAGTTCAAGACTGCCCTGTCCTCATGTGTATCCAATCGGCTGAATACATGCAATCATTTCCAAAATTCTTTCTCTGATACATTGTAAACCAAAATGTTCATTCTCTGGTCCTTGCATCTCAGAGGTAAATTGTCTGCATTTAAAAAAATATTTTAAATAATGTAGAAGTGGTTACAAAGCCTGACTGAGAACATATCTTGCATAAGCATCGATGAAGCTTCTTATAACCCCATCATTCTAATAAATAAAAGTTCAAACTATTTCCATTATTGGCCAAAAGCCTTTACCAAACATACAATTTTATAAACTTAAAATCCTAACACTTACATCTTTTACAGTTTGCCTTGTTCAAATCTGTCTCCTTTTTTTTCTGTCTTTTTTTGTTGTTGTTATGCTGCTGGTCATGGGGCTTGAACCTAGGGCCTGGGAACTGCCTCTTAGCTCTTTAGCTCAGAGCTAGTGCTCAACTACTTTGAGTCATAACAACACTTCAGTTTTTCTGGTAGTTAATTGGAGATAAGAACCTCACAGACTTCCTTTCCTGGGCTGACTTTGAACCACAATTCTCAGATTTCAGCCTCCTGAGTAGCTAGGATTACAAGCATAAGCCACTGAAACCCAGCCTCTTCATTTTTAGTTTTTTAGTTTTTAGTTTTTTTTATGTCAGTACTGATGCTTGAATCAGGGCCTGAGCACTGTCCCTCAGCTTGTTTGCTTGAGGCTGGTGCTCTACCACTTGTGCCATAGTTCCCCCTCTGGCTTTTTGATGATTAATTGGAGATGAGTTTCTTGGATATATGTGTACTCCATTGTATGTTATAGACAGTGATAGACAATTTGCTCCAGGAAAGTTAGAATGAACTTGTGACTTTAAATGAGCATCATTATTCCACAATACTGTGAAATTTGGGAAATTATGTAATCACTTAATCACAATTAAAAAAAAAGAACCTCGGGGAAGGTAGGGAGGGAAGGGATAGTAGGGGGAAAACAATGGAGGGGGTAACAATGCTCAGTAGGAAGTGTACTCATTACCTTACTCATGTAACTGTAACCCTCTGTATAGTATTTTTACAATAAAAAAATTTAAAGAAAAAGAATTTCTTGGACTCTTCTACCAGGGGCTGACTTCTGACAGTGATCCTCAGTACTCAGCATCCTGAGTAGCTAGGATTATCTTTTAAATAACAGCCTACCATATCTAGCAACTTGAAGCTCTTACTTCAGTAATGAAGTTGTTTTGTAGAGGAAATACAGCTTTGCCCTGGAAAGAACTCTCAGTGAAAATCCTACTGAATGTTGTTTACAATCATTACTGAAGCCTTCCCAGTGCTTTCCTCTGAGTCTGGGGCCAGGAGGGTGGGGGGGCTGGGAAGGGGAGCTTAAACATTTACACTCCTCACTAGGGTGTCCAAACTGATGAATGATCATATGGTGGTTATCTTACTGCGCCAACAAAGAATGCTTGAGGCTGAAAAGCAGACCAACTGGAAAGAAGGAAACCTTTTTACCCAAATGTGTTTTTAATTATAGTATTAACAAAGATAAAAACAAAAACAGGGAAGTGCAAAATAATCATATGGGAGTCTAACAAAATCAACACCATTTGTTCCCTGAATTATATTTGCTACTCTAAGTGGGTTGTTTTCCCAAATATTGGAACCTTTTCCTTTTGAACAGTATTTCTTTACAAAAATCCCAGATTAAATATGCCTTTGAGTTAACAGGCAAATAATTATAGCGTGAAAAAGTATCAAACGTAAAATAAATCATACTGGCATTTAAGGATTAAAATGAAGCCCCTGTTGATCAAAGGCATTCATTAGTTGATATTTATTTAGTATGCTTCAAATCTCCTGTAGTCAAAAGTGATCCATGACTGTTTACCAGGAAGTAATAACACCTCCTCTAATGTCATTGACAATGTTAATCTTGATCAACTTTCCCTGCCCTAAAAATTTATAAAAAGCCAAGGGTTACTTAGTAACTATTCTAGATCTATGTTTCTTGGCCTTTGTGATCCAAGACCTCGCTTGTATAAAGATAGCATCAGAAGCAAATGGTGTGTACACACACAGATGTACAAACACAAAAGTACAATACATCCCTCTCTCCCCTTTCACAGTTCTCTTTTTCTTCCCCAATATACCAAAATCAACTGGTCTCTCCTTGCTGAAGGAAATGGATAATTTGGTCTCTCATGAGACCTCTTGGAAAATGGGAACAATATAAATTTACTCTGATTAGCTAAACAAATACATGTACATGGGTTCGATTCCTGACATATTAGCATTAGTTGAGGACAGCAGTTGAGGTATTACCGCTATCTGTCACACTGACCTGCTTACAGAGTTTAAAAGAGAGTGAACCAAGCAGAGGCAGGAGACCTAAAAGGAAAAGCCCAAACACAGAAGAGCAATTTGAGGGCTCTTCTTTACAGGTGGCTTTCTAGAAACCTAGAGGGCTGAGGGAAATCAAATTTTTACTGTGTTTTCTAGTTTAATGTTCTATGGTGAACATTCCTAATTGAACTATCAGATCTGGGTCTTGTAAAAAGTTCGCCACCTCAAGGGAAAGGACAGGAGGCCAAGTAGAACACTTTAAGTCAGAACAAGGAGAGGCAGACTCTATTTCCCCATGAGCCTTAACTTTCACCTCTGTTATACAGAGACTCACAGAGTTTGAAACATGATGAACAATTGGACTAGATGCCTGAGAGTCTAGTAACTCTACCCATATCCCATTCTTTGTGGTCTAGGTGGGAAGCTAGCCTTGAATCCAATCTAATGAATTGGTAAGAGTAGTTTAGTTGGGCTGTCCTATAATTCTTCCTTATGCTCATGTTTCCTTTACTCTTGATTGTCCCCATTACTCTTGATAACATAACCTGTGAGAGGCGATTGTAATCTTTAGCAAGTTAGTATAAGTTAAGTGTCTTTTCTTCTGAGGATATTTTCATTGACCACTAATTAAAGGTCTCCAGATTATGAAATGAATGTTAAGAGTACATGTAAGAATCTGTAGCAGTTGCTTGCATTCTCAGCTACCAGTCAAGACCTGTGAAATCAGCAGACTTGTATGGAGCACCAAAGATCAACCAGTGCATACTGGTTTCGCTCTGTTGCTACAGTACTGGTTTATGTACTTCTATACTGGATGGTCAGTATCTGTGCCCACCTACAAGGACCCCTGATTATCTCTGGGACTTCCTTGAGCAACCCAGAATCCAAAAACCAAAAGTTTACTCTTATTTCAATTGAGGCCTCCAGGGCCCCAGCTCTGTAGTAAGTGTCTAGTATAGCTGGTCACTGTCAATACTGTTCTGGGTGTGAAACATTTTGAATATAATTTCTGCTTATACTCCTTTTATCATCAAATCATTGCCGACATTACACATTAAGGCCTCTCTCTTCCCTCATCTCCAATCAACAGCCATCACAGCAAACTGACATCTCTCCTGAAATATATTTCTCTAGCTGCCTTCTAACAAGTCAAGAGGAAAGAACTGCTGAATAGTAAAACTCTGGGAAATGATGGTTGTGAAGGAAGCACATAACTTTAGCATGCCCATACATCCAGGGCTCCAGGCTTCATTTTCAGAAATACTGATGTCATAAATCAGGATGATTTAGGAAATCAGTGTATTATATTTGCCGATTATACTCTGCTTGAGAAACACCAAACTGTGGCCGCACATCCTGCAGATGTGGGCAGAACATGTGTTCGTCATCAGGAGCTTGGTTTACTAGGCTTTCATAGCCAATCACCTTGCTTCAACTTGCATCATGACTACTATGCTAGTGGTCATGATACAAGTACTCCAGATACATTTTCATTGATTGGTGCTCCAGGCTTACCGGTATTTTATAAACACTTTTTTTGTTTCAAAATTGCAGAATCTGTTATCCCAAGCAGTGGAACCTTTCACGTAAAGCTCCCTAAGAAGCACAACGTGGAACTTGGAATAACCATCAGCTGTAAGTAAAACTGGTCTCTTTGTAAATACACAATTTTTAAACACAGTAGAAAACTGTGTTGCAAATGCTTTCCAGGTACAAGGAATGCTCTTAAGTGTCCCTGCCCAGCTTCAGGGTCAGGTGCAGAGCTGTGTAGCCAGTCACTCTGTGGGCACCTACTATCCTTGTAAAAGGCTCAAGTTCTTTCAGTTCTCTCTGCTCTTATATTTCTCTATTTGTAAAATGAAACAAAGGTATCTTCAAAACATAGGGTTGTCTTGCGTGTCAAATAACACAGCATTTATATTCCTTGTATAGTGTCTAGCAAGAGATAAGTAAATACTCAGAAAATGTCTCAGCCTGATGCCTGTAGCTCATGCCTGTAATCCTAGCTACTCTGGAGGCTGAGATCTGAGGACTGTGGTTCAAAGCCAACACAGTCAGGAACATCCAATAGACTCTTATCTCTAAAAATCCAGAAGTAGAGAGGTTGCTCAAGTGGCAGAGCATCAGCCTTGAACACAAAAGCCAAGCAAGAATACAAAGCCCTGAATCTAGCCTAAAGCAGAAAAATACATATGGTTTCCCACACTTTAGTATACTATAGATTAACTCTCCTATTTAATGAATACAATAAAACAATACTCTAATGGAAAAATCACATTAACTGAATCCTAAGGCTGTCTTTCCATGTATCTGCTATATATCTGTAATCTATTTCACAAGACTAAAGCAGTTTTGCTTACTAGGGTAAATTTCTGAATTCCTTCAAGGTACAGGTTATTCAGTTAACCAATCCAAAAGGAAAAGCAGAGTATATAAATGTGTTTAATTCTCTTCCTTCCTCAGGCTCTACTTTTATAACTACTTGGTAAAACAACTTTGAAGTTTTCATTACCAATGGACTTTTATAGAATGAGAATTGAGGGTTACTTTTGTGCTTTCAAAAGCCATAGACTTAAGTTTATCCATCAATGCAAGAAAATGCATAAAGACACAAAGAGATACAGCGGGCATGCCATGACACAAAGTGGTCCCTTCAAGAAAGAATGAGGGGGCTAGGTCAAAGCCTCCATGCACAGTGTTTATGACAATGACTCAAAGAAGAAGAAGTAAAAAGAATTTCAATTTGGCAGTATGAAATTGGGCTGCCCAATTCAACTTAGATGAAATGAATTTACAACTAAGTAGCAGTTTTGTTTATAGCTGATAAACCACACATACCTCCTGCACTAAAAAGCTGGTATTATCATAAGAATAAGAAAAGCATATGTAGGAGGGTATATATTTCCCGCCCCCTCCCCCAAAGTTGGCTACAGGGGGAACGAAGTCAAAAAACAAAGGATATTTTAGACACTCCAGGCAGATTTTTAGGTGCTACTAAAGTCATTTATGCCTTTAATTAGGTCCCTTGGCTCCTTTGAAAGTTAGCTGTGGAGCAAAGATGGCATGTCACTATTCTGTCAACAGCTGAAGCTGTTGGAGTACATCAGAATTTACCATTCTGAGATTCAAGGAGGCCTTGCATTCCCCTTGTAACTTTAAGACTGTTTTCATTCATTCTGATCATTAACATTCTATTCACTGAGTCATTCAGAATGAACTACTACAGTAATGTCTCTTGGCACTGGACAGTGTTTAACCTTCCAGAGTACACAAAGACCCTGCTTATGCTTCTGTTCTTCTACCTTCGCTTGATAATATTCAGGGTATCTTAGCATGCCCTAATCCCTGCACTACATCCTTCAGTCCTTAGAGCTCTTTCCTAATGCAAGTGGGCATTCTGAAATCACCTCCTACTTGGAAGCTCTGTCACCACTGCACATGTACTTCTTTCTCAAACTTGGCCTTTCTTTGATTGCCTTATATAATAGACTTAAGAGTTGGTATAGATATATAATGTATTCAGTATCCATGGGAAAAAATATCTTGTGCCCTGGTTCTTTTAAAAGGTAAAGATTTAGATGCTTAATTTCTATAAGATGTTTTATGTGTGCACCACTACAAAATATTTGTTTGATTCACATATACAATCATTTAAAATCATGCTTTATGATGGCATTTCATATGCACTAAACATTTACTTCTGCGATAGTATTCCCAATAATGGCAACAATCCAAAATAAGAATGGCTTGTGTTTTAGCCAGTGCTAGGCAAATGCTATTCATGGTGCCTGAAATATAATGCTTCTCCTTGATGCAGAAGTGATGTATAGGTTTGTCACATACACTTGTCAGCTCTTTCAGAGCTACAGCTGCATTTACACAACTAATCATCATCATGCTGGATTCCTGTCTCATTGTGGCAAATACTTGTATTTTGCCAGTCACAAAAGCAGAATTTGCTATAAGAAAACTTTTTTTAAAAAAAGGCCATGCTCAGATTTTCATTGCTAAGATACTGAAGGCTCACAAAGTTCTAGGCACATAATGAGGCACTCAGTTAATACCTGTACTTGTTGAGTGTCATTCAGTGAAAATTCTTTATCAGCAAATAATGTTATGCTAGCACTGTACCCTTCAGGAGATGAACTTTTAAGAGAGGTGATAAATGCAGATGTTTTGCAAATTCAGTAGGTAGGCAGAACATTACACTAGGTGATAGGCAAATGCATGTCCTAAAATTACAACTATTGGTTCTGTGTTTTACAGACCTAGATTTTTTGGCCTAGATCATTTGTTTCAATGTTTTTACAACAGCAACAAGATGATTTTGGTTAACAGACACACTCTATACCTACTGTCCCTTGGAAATAAAACAAAATGAGTGGACTCCTAATGCATGAATGTCCGATATGAGAATCACCATGTTGAGTATTCACTTGCAACTCCTACATGTAGAGCAGGAGATGCCTCTTTCCTTCTTTCCTTTTTCTCCCAACATCATTCTGTTTGACTAAAATAAATCTTGCTAAATTTTATAGGAAATAAAAATAAAAGGGCAATTGCATGGATTAAAGAAGGCTTAACTTGAGGAGGCAACAATGCTTGATAAGAAATGTACTCATTACCTTGCCCATGTAATTATAACCCCTCTGTATGATATTTTCACAATAAAAAAAAAGAAGGCTTAACTTGAAAATGTTCAAGAGGGACAATTTAAAGATGATAAAAATCTATTGTCCAGAGCTAAGCACTGGTGTTTCATGCCTGTAATCCGAGCCTTTCAAGGCTGAGATCTGAAAGATCACAGTTGAAAGCTCATGGGGGCAGAAAAATCTGTGAGACCCTGCCTCCAAAATAACCAGCAAAATGCAGGTCTGGATGCATGACTCAAGTAGTAGAGTACCAGTCAAGTGAGCAAGCTGAGCAAGTGAAAGGTCCTGAATTCAAACCCTGGTACCAAAAAAAATCTAGTGTTAACTATAGTCATCTCGTTTAAGAAAGAAATCCAGGGAACCTCTTTTCAAACACAATGTTATTTACTGTAAATGATATTTGCTGTAAATGTTATTTGCACTGCAGTATTATCCTCACTCTGCACAAAATCATTTTGTCTTCTTCACCTTGTAAAAAAACCTCTGAGTACTAAGAAGTAATCCTCCATCATGGGAAGCGTACATATTATGAAAGCCATTAGGGTGCACTCTCTAGACCTAATTGCCTGAGAAATGAGCCCTTCTGATTTTGGAGATGGTGAACAGTTTTAGACTAATTTTCTCAGGTTCCTGATGAAACATTTGCAGTACATTAGCATCAGACATTAATTTATTGATATTATTGCTATAATATAGAGTGATTTATTATAGCAAATAAAGTGGAACGACCTAGCAGAAGGATTCAGTTGAAACAGGAAGCCACATTCCGTGCCCTCACACTCACATTAGTCAGGAATCAGTTCTTCCAGGACAACCCCCTCGCCTTTCAATTCAGAAAGGCCTAGTTGTGTCTGTCACATGGAGTCTTTTTTTTGGGGGGGGAGGGGGAGTCAGGTCGTGGGGCCTGAATTCTGGGCCTGGGCGCTGTCCCTCAGCTCAAGACTAGCACTCTACCACTTGAGCCACAGAGCCACTTCCGGCTTTTTTTTTTCTGCTTATATGGTGCTGAGGAATCGAACCCAGGGCCTCATGCATGCAAGGCAAGCGCTCTACCACTGAGCCACCTTCCCAGCCCCACTTGGAGTCTTTTTTACATTGGTGATATCTTTGAATCTTTTATTTACAGGTATTGATATCTACTATGTGCAGGGCATGGCACTGTGCAATTTATGTGTTTTCTTATTTAATTCTCATAGCATCTCTGTGATATCTATCCATATTTTACAGAGGACAGTACTCAGATTGGTAACCTCCAAAGAGCTAATAAAAGGAAAAGCAGGGAGCTACACCCATTCTGCAGGCTTTATCACTCTTGCACTTAGCCCTGTCACCATCTGATTGATGAATCTTCCCAGATCCTATATCAGAAAAGCAAAAAGCATCATTTCATGAGTTCAGTTAATCTGTTGCCATTCTTTTGTAGTTGTGACTGAATTGTTTTCAGGAACAAAAGCTTGCTAATATACACATGTATATAATAAATAAATATTAAATATATAAAAATATATTATATATATTTAGAGAGTGTAAATCTATATGATATATTTTTAGAAAGAGAGAGAACCAATGCTGCTTTTATGACAAGCACAAAATATCTGTCACCCCCGACCTCCAAGTTTTTAGAGTACTTACAAAGGCAAGAATATTTAGAAATTTTTTTTGCTAATCTTGCAATTAAAACTTTACTTACTATTCCATTTGAAATTAAACAACTTGTTTTACTTGCCGTGCATCAAGTGTATGGCTACAATTCAGTGAAAACTGAAAGAGAGAGATAGTAAGAATCTCTCCAGTGTAGTTTAGAGACTTCATCAGATCCTTTGAGCCAAGTACAGTGGCAGAAAACTAAGTTTGGCAAATGACTTTATTATAGAAAGTTCTTGGACTGTTTGTGGATTTGCATTTAACTTGCTTTGAAATTCAGAACATTTCTTCAAATACAGAAAAAGTAATTCAGTACCAGTTATCATTTTCTACATTGTC